TAATGTCGAACAAGAGGATATCTTTATTTGTGATTTTTGTCAATAGAATACATCTTTATATCGTATTTTGATTAAAATAAGTCTAGATTTTATAATTGCACGGTGTTTTACATGTTTTCAAATGGATACCCGGTTTTATTCTACCAGTAGGGCAAAACCGGATATTTTGACTTCTCCAAAAAATCTTGTTATCCTTGATAACCAAATATTTTTTGTCAGCAATTACCCTCATTTTCTCATAGTTTAAGGTCCACTAAAGATTACTAATGGCCAGCAAATTTTTTTTTACTCTCTGATTTTTTGTAGGAAGTGAAACCCAAAAAAGTACTCGGTTTTACCCTACTTTCCCCTATGTATGTATGTATAGAAATTTATTGTTCCCCTATGGGGTTTTAATCTTTATATTAATCTTAACCTATTACATCTTCGTACACATATCGCTTTATTATCGCCGCCTTAACATAACCTTCCTATTCTTCTCTCTCTCTCTTTCCGTTTTGCTCTCTAGTTTGCTTTACCTCTTACTTACATTCTACTTACATCTATCTTACAATAAGCCGTATTCTCTACTGGACCTCCGCTTCCGCTGTTGCTGCCTTTAATTTTTTCTTTTTTTCTTTACCCTCCACTCTCTCTCTCTCTCTTATTCTCCCTCTTCCCCCATGTTCTCCTTCACATTCATTTATACTCACTCTCTCCCTCCACCCCTTATTCACATATTCACACTTCTCTTTCTACTCACTTTCCCTTCTCCTCCCCTTTTACGCTTCTCTCTTCTTCCCTGCCCTCTCCCCCTCTTGCTTTTTCTATCTCCTTCATCCATTCCTCACCTCCTCCATCTTCTCCCAGTATCCTTTCCACCGCTCCCTGCCAGCTCTCCTCCTTCTCCCTCTCTCCTCCCGTACACCCTTTCCATACATGTTCCCATGTCTCTTCCTCTCTCCCACACACTCTACATATCCTCTTCTCTTCTCTCTCCCAGTATAATTCTTCTCTAACTTCGTTTCCCATTCTAAATCTTATTACCCTTTTCCATCTGCTTTCCGCCCAACCTTTTTCAAATATTCTGGAATACCCTCTCCCCTCACTCTTCTATACCACTTATTGTACCTCGACTCTTTTATTTTCTTCTCCCTCTCTTCCTCCTGCCTTCTCTTGTCTCTCTCCTTTAACTCCTCGTACTCCCTTTCTTCTTCCTCCTCTTCTTGTATTCCTCTTTCTCTTAGAAACTCCTCTCTCTCCTGCTCCCATGCCCCTATTCTCCTTCCTCTTTTCCATCTTTCCCTCATCTTTAACCAACATCTTCTAGCTATTTCTCCTCTCTTCCCTTCCTCCAGTCTCTTTTCGAATTTCCACGCCCTTCTTCCTGCTCTTCCTCTCATCAATCCTCTTCCTACCTTTTCCCTAATCATATACCCTGGCGTTCTCCAGTCTACTCCCATTGTCCATTTCATGTACCTTTCGTGTATACCCTCTACCTCTTTTCTCTCTTTCCATCCCCATATCTCTGCTCCATACCCCATTACCGTCCACATCATTGTGTCATACAGCCACATTCTCCTTTCCCACTCTTTTTCCCACAACCTTTTTCCAATTCCCCATACCTCCCTCATCACTATAGCTGTCCTTCTTCTCCTCTCCCTTACATGTGCCTCCTGCCTTCCATTCCTTTGTATGGTGTACCCCAGATATTTGAATTGCTTCACTTTTTCTAATTTCTTCTCCTTCCATCTCCAATCTATCCTCTGTGTCCTCCTCCCCCCCCCTTGCTAAATCTCATTGTTTTCATCTCTTCCGCATTCAATTCCAGTCCTTTTTTGTCTAAATATCTCTCTAATCTACTCAGCATAGCTCTCATATCTTGTTCTTCTTCTGCCATTAACACCACGTTATCGGCATACGCTAGTGTATATATCTTTCCCTCTCCTAATTGTATTTCTCCCCAACCTTTTCTTATCATGTCATCTTCTAAATCCGCCAGGATATTGTTAAACAACATTGGACTCAGGGGACACCCCAGCCTTAAGCCTCTCGCTGTCCAAAATTCCTCTCCCGTCCTATCCCCTACTCTTACCCTTTTGTTTTCCTTACCACCTCTTCAATCCTTCTCACCAATCCTTCTCTAATCCCCCTTTCCCTCATCGCCCTTATTAGAATCTCCCTGTCTACCGAATCAAATGCCGCCCTCAAGTCTACAAACACTTTCGTCATTTTCCCTCCTTTCTTTCCTATATGTCTGTTAATTAAATAGTTTAGCGCGTATATCTGGTCTATTGTTCCCATCCCTCTTCTAAACCCCGCTTGGCTCTGCGACAACACCACCTTCATCTCCATCTCTTCTTTCAATCTCTCCTCTAACGCCGCCGCATATATCTTATATAACGACGGCATTAGAGTCACTCCTCTATAATCTTTTGTTTCCTCTCCCCTCCCTTTCTAACCTATCGGTACAGTAATGCCCTCCTTCCACTCTTCTGGCCATCCCTCTTCCTTCCATACCCTCCCACACGCCTCCCACATCCATTTTTCCAGCTCCTCTCCCCCGTACTTCCAAACTTCATTTAACCCTCTTCACTTCTTTCCATTCTAACTCTGCCTCTGCTTCTCTCCCTTCCTCCTTCCTTTCCCTTCCTCCTCTTATCACCCTTCCTTCCACTCCCCCTAACAGTTCCATAAAATACTCCTTCCATTCTCCCATCTCTATATCCTCATTCACCCTTTTCCTTCCTTTCTTTTCTTTCCTTACTAACTCCCACACTTTTCCCTGTTTTTGCTTCTCCTGCCTCTCTCACTATCCTCTCCCTTTCTTCTTTTTTTTCTCTTCACATAGCTCCTTATATTCCCTTTTTCTTTCTCTATACCTATCTCCTCCCTCTGTTCTCCATCTTCTCAATTCTTTTCTTACTTTTCTTTTTCTCTCTCTACACTCCTCACCCCCTTCTAGAACATTTTCTTTTCCCATCTTCTCCTCGCACCTCTCTAGTGTCTTCCTTAATCTCTTTCCCATTTCCTCTATTTCCTTCTGTATCCCTTCCTCTCCTCTTCTCACACATCCCATTTCCTTCCTAAAAATCTCTTCCCTTTTCGTCCCACACCCCCCTTTTTCCTTTTCTGCCGTAACCTTGTCTTTTCACCCCCCTGCTCGTGCTTCCCTTTACACATGCTATCACCGGGTGATGATCTGAGTCCACCTCCTCTCTTATTTCTAGTCTCTCTATTTTTTCTCTTACCTTCTCATCACCTAGAATATGGTCAATAACCGTTCCTCCCCTTTCCCCGGTGTATGTGAATTCTACCTCCTCGTCCCCCTTTACGCTTCCGTTCAATAATATCTTTCTTTTAATTTTCCCCATCCCTTCTCCTCTATCCATGTCTCCGACAGCACTATTACATCCCATTCCTTAATCCTTTGCCAAAACTCCCTATCCTTGTTTCCTACTCCTACTACATTCCAAAACGCTACCTTCCATATCTCCTCTTGCTCATCCCTTCCTCTTTCCCCTCCCTTTCTCCACTCTTCTCCTTCCCCTTCCGTCTCTTTAAACTTCCCCTTGCTCACTCCCTACCTTTCCCTCCTTATCTTTTAACTTTTCTTCCTTTTTTACATTTCCATTCCCGTCCTTCAAAACTTCTTCCTTCTCATCCCATCTCCACCATTTCTCGCCTATTCTAATTTTTTCATAACTTATCCATACTTTCCTCCCTTTCCTTTCTTCTTCCTTCGCCATCTCCTCCAATCTCCATCTCATTCTTCTTTCTTTCCATGTCCAATCCTTCATAACTCTCTCCTTCCTGCCTCTCAATATTTTTTTCTTACTTCAAATTTTCTTTTTTTGTTCCTCATCCTTTAGCCTTACTACAATCATCTCCCTCCTTCCCTCCAACCTCCCCCTATCTGTTTTACTTCCTCTATTTCCGCCTTCACCCTTATGCTAGCAAATACCTCCTCTGCCGCTGTCCTTCTCCTCCCCTCCTTTACCTCTACCCCTTTAATCAGGACATTCTTTCTTCTTTCTTCCCTTTTCCTTCTTTCCATTCTTCTCTCTATCTTTATTACCTTGCTCCCTATCTCTCCATTTCCCTCCCGTCTTACTGCCTTACTCCCTTCCACTTCCCCTATACCGCGCTTTTCTAATTTCTCTATTTTCCCCTCCATCTCTTTGATACATCACCTCAATTCCTCCCTTTCCTCCAACCATCTCTTTTCCCTCTCACCAAATTCCCTTCTCAACTCTTCCACCTCCTCTCTCAATTTCCCCTGTTCTTTAATTCCCTCTTTAACCTCCTCTTTCATATTTCTTATTTCCTCCTTCCATCCCTTCATACTTCTCATCTCCCTCACTAAATCCTCTATTTCATTCCTCCAACTTTTTATAATTTTCTGCATCTCTCCCTCTCTCCCTCTCCCCCCAACCCTCCTAACACCGGAACCTTCAGTACTCCTGTTGTCTTTTTAACGCTTCTAAAAACCTCCTCTTCTTCCTTCCCTTCTCCTTGTTCCCGCCTTTTCCTTTTTAACATCTCCTGTATATTCCCATAGCTTACCTCTTCTCTCTTTAGCCTCCTTTGCGGCTGATTGCGCCATCTTATTTTTCAGCGCCCTCTATACACACTTCTGTCACTGCCGCTTGCCTAGTCTACGCTCTCTGTATACTCTATACTCTCTGTCTTAACTGCCACGTTTTCTTACCTCTCTTAATCTCCTTTTATTTTCCCTTATTCCCTATATCACTTTCAACCCTTCTCCTTCTTCACTCTCTCATACCTTCACTCTCACCCTGGCACATTCTCTACTCATTCACCCTTCACCTTCTCACTTTATACTCCGTCAAACCACACACGTCAATATCCACGATACACACTCCTTGCCATCGGAAACGGAAGTCTACTTTCCCCTATGTATACATATATATATGAATGTATGTGCATGTGTACATGGATGCGTGCGTCTCCAAATGAAAACATGATTGTAAGATGAAATTTTTGGACGTTGATTTCAGGAATGTGACCATCCACATATACTTTTAGAAAGAAAAGGACATTTTTATAATATGGTACAGCAGACTGGTTCAGTGATGGCTGAAAATCTCATCGATATGGCTACAAAAGTAAGTAATAAATTAATTTAATAACAGAAGTATAACAAATTTAAATATCTTTAGTTAAATATTTTATTTTTCTCTGAACTGATAGCTATTTATTATATTTATCAAAGAAAATTTAATAAAATTTAATTTAGTGTTATAAATTTTACTATTAAGAATTTATTATGATTGTTTATAGAGTTTCTATGAAAAGGATAGACCGCCGTCCAGATAATTTTCAATTATGTGCCAAAGTTATCAAAATACTGTTTCGCCACATATATGCAGATATTCAATGGTGAATTTATTAGCAATATAATCTAACATACAACACAACGCATATTTTATACTAATAAAATTATTTTTGATGACTATTATATGTTATACTCTATTGATCATTTTTATATCCCCATCACATGTTTCAAATTTTAGATTACTTTTTAGAAAACTCACAATGTAAGAAAAAAAATTTTAGCATATTAGATAGTAAAATAGATAAAAATAAGATCTCATAGTCATATATAAAAAATAAAACAAATAAATATTTATTTTAAGGAATCCTCGCTCAATGTTCTTGAATTTGATATACATATAACAATATATCACATCTTTCAAAATTAGACATAACGCATTCTTTGTACTTAGATTAATCACTTATCGAAAAAAGAAAAATACACATGTTACGAGAGAATTATTGCATTATTCCATCTATTGATGGAACATCAACTCTGAGCGTTTGTGTCCAATTATGCCACAATAACGGCATCTAAAGTCGAAACAAGTCCCCGTTTTTGGTATTAAAGGTTTGATGTTTGTCGTTGTAATCTTTCTTTGGCATGAGTCAACCATATTTTTATTGGAGCTGAGATATGCTCGTCTGTAACATCCGTATGTATTTTTCTTGCTACATCTAAAAAAACAATTTTAGAAATTGTTTATTATTTATTAATAAATAAAAACAAATATCTTTTTAACACAATTTAGATTAAAAAATACAAAAATGTAAAATATTTATTTACTTAATTTCTCATAATAATATGTTACAAATTATTTAATATATGTAAAGCTTATTAAAAAAATATATAAATATGTAGGATTTATTGTATCGTAAGATTTATTATAACGTATTACAAGTCAATCGGGCAAAATGATTCGAACGCTTCCACGCTTTCTTTCGCACTGTTCGCTCATCAACTTGGATTATCCAAGTATCAAACTTTGATATCGGGTTTTCATCTTATCTCGCGCACGCACGCACACGCTTCTACGCGGCAACGACAAAAGAACTTCAGCCCTTTTGATTAGTCGCCAAAGACGCAGCAAAACGCAATGTTTTTAAGATCGCCATAGAAATATTTGTAAGCAATATTTTTTTTATACACATACACACGCACACACATACACACATACACACGCACTCACACAAGCAATGGAAATCATAAGAGATAAAATTAAAGAAAATAAATTGTAAATTTTTGTCTGATTATTGTACTTCTTGTTTTGTGTCCCATTAACTGTGCGCAGAGATCAGATGTATTATCTGCAAAACGATTTAAATTTGCGGCATCTTTCTGTTGTGGCAACACTGAAACAAAATGAGAATTTCACATAAGAATAAGTATTTCATGTCCGTATCAAATATAAGCTTACGATAAAATAGATCACAAATTTAAAAAATCCTATTATCAGTGTTGAGATTAACTTGCAGTTATAAATTATTTTATCATAAACTACTAAATATGAATCAAAAATATTATAAAAAATATCTTTCAGGCGAAAGTATTTTTTATAATTTTATGTTTAATGATATATTTTATGAGTAATAAAAAGGATTACCTGATTAAAATCTCATACAACATATAACATGTTGTGAAGCAACAAGACATAGCCATGAAGAGACCACTGCCGGCAATATCGGAAACTACGTATTCAAATGTATGGTAATATACTATACATATCTACTATTAAATTCTGCGTAACTCAAAGTATGTCCTGAGAATATACGAGAATATATAGAAAATAATGTACTGTATAAAAGATATTACAAGTATATCCTGAGAATCAGTTTTACCACTAAGCATCATAAGCAACTTAGAGTAAAGAATAGCAGGAGTGAGCATTTGGTGTTAAGCGAACGAACGGAAGTGACTATATATAAGTGGACGCTCAAGATGGCCGCTCAGGGACAAATTGCAGCATGACGGAGATACCTCAAAGGACCTCCTCAAAGGAAAACCTCTAATGAAAGTACCTCAAAGACCTGGCAATGCACCATGATGCTGATGAACACTTACAATTAATACTTATTATTAATATCTTTTTAGCCTAATATTGGCTCTACCTCTCATTTATTTAGAATCGATGTTCGTGCGCAAAATATGTGCAGACTGGAACAAGTAAGGCAACAAGTGGCTGTACACGGTCCTGAAAAACGTCGAAAAAAGTGGACGCTCAAGATGGCTGCGATGACGTACTACTATTCGCGATAAGTCTACCCCCACTACCGATATGCTCACTCCTGTTATTCCATATTCTGAGATAGTCAATTGCCTAGGAGCGCCACGAGAAAAGGGGAAGCCAGATTTAAGACTCGGTGCGTTGGCTGTATTAAATTTTAATAATGATTTGGTTACTTCATTTGAAAATATGATTAAAGATTTTCTAGCTTTAAAATCGCGATTTTTAATTTTTAACTTTGTTTTGTTACAATATTTTTCTTGATTAGTAAACGTAGTAAAGAATCGTTAATATTTTATTAATTTGAATTTATATTTAACTTTTTTCATATTTTATTTATTTATTCTTGTTTACAAAGAGTGAGCAAAAATTCTAAAAATTTAACTTAATTTTCACTTATTTGATACCTTCCCATCTTAAATTAAAAAATGCAGGGGGCGAACCGAAGTATTGCCTACGGGCGAACTGATTCTAAAACCGGCACTGCTGAGAATATGTCAAGTCCATATTTTCATCATGTGTCCCCCTCTGAACCATACAACTTTTGTATAAAACATTTTTTTCCATCTTGTTTACTTTACGAGATATTTGCGTGCGTTGATTAAAATGAGTAGGGTTATAGGGCCGGTTCTAAGCCTGGTCCTCTAAAGGGAGGTGAGGGACGGGGGGGTCCCGCACGGGCGAGGAGGCATGACGTCACGCGGGCGAAGGGGGAATTTGGTGGCGCGGGGGAATGACGTCACGCGGGCGGGGGAGCTTATCGAGGGAGCATAAACAACGCGGTGTATTACAAAGGGCGGGTGCCGATGTCCGACTGCTCGAATTTATAAACATTATAAACAAATATCGTCTCGCACTATTGCACGTGCGGCATTATTGAATTTCATAGAAAGATGATAAGGCGAGCGCCGATGTCCGGCTGCTAGAATT